GGAGTACAAATAAGTTTCCGCCGTTTGCAAAAGACGGCGCCACTAATAAATTATAGTTAAAATTATAGTTAAAATTGTTTGATGTAAAACGACATCGTAAGATTGGACATCCAGCAACACCATAATCTTGAAATATTAACGATTTCATATCAGCATCATATATTTTTTTTTGTACGAAAATGTCGAGTTTTGAGCCGAATAAGCATCATTTGCGGGAACTTTTGATTTACTTTTTTAATTTGAAGAAATCTGCAGCTGATCTGAGGCTCGTAGATTGCTTGTAGAAGCATATGGTGATGCTGCCTTAAGTGAGAGAAGTTGTCGTGAGTGGTTTCAAAAGTTTAAGAACGGTGAATTTACGTCGAAGACAAAGGCCGAAAGTTTATGAAGACGCGGAATTGGAAGCATTATTGGATGAAGATTCGTGCCAAACGCAAAAAGAACTTGCATTTACATTAGGAATGACTCAACAAACAATTTCATCGTTTGAAATCATTGAAAATGATTCAAAAGCAAGGGAATTGGATTCCATATAAACTGAAGCCAAGAAACGTTGAACGCCGATTTTTCACATGTGAAATGCTGCTTGCCAGGCATAAACGAAAGAGTTTTTTGCATCGTATAATCACTGATGATGAAAAATTGATCCACTACGATAACCTAAAGAAGAGAAAATGGGAACCACCTGGCCGTGCTTCAACATCGACAGCCAAGTCAAATATGGAAAAAAACTCATGTTGTGTATTTGGTGGAATCAGCTTGGTGTCGTGTATTATGAGTTGCTCAAACCGAACGAGACCATTATTGAGACTCTTTACTGAACACAGTTGATAAGATTGAGCCGACCACTCAGGGAAAAACGCTCCCGCTACTACTCCAGGCATGACAAAATTATTCTCCTGCATGATAATGCTCGACCACATGTTGCGGCGCCGATCAAACCTACTTAGAAACACTCAAATGGGAAATTCTATCTCCCGCCATATTCTCCAGACATTGTTCCTTCCGACTTGTTCCGATTGATGACGCATGGCCTGTCTGAGCAGTACTTCACATCATATGAAGATATAAAAATTGTATCGATAATTGGAGCCTCAAAAGATGAAGCGTTCTTCCGACGCGGTAGCTACATGCTATCAGAAAAATGGGAAAAAATAGTGGCTAGCGATGGCCATTAGTTTGAATAAAACATTATGTACCGTTCTTTCATAATAAATGCTTAATTTTTTATAAAAACGGCGGAAACTTATTTGTACTCCCAATAAGTTAAAAGCATTTATATAATAATTAAAATTATTATGCTCCTATGTTTACGTTCATACCTAGCAATTTTTAATATTCCACAAATATGCTCAATATATGTAATGAACAATGTACCTATTCCCAACATTATAATCGATCCAATACATAATACTGTGTTCATATGTAACAGCATCCAATAGCAATACTTTTCTTGACCAAGGAATTCTGTCATAATGAGTAAATGATGTGTTTGAGACATGTTCGTCGTATTGACATCAACTATAAATGACCAAATTTGAGCTATTATACATATGATTATTCCACAAATTCCAAATACTAAAAAGAAGTAAAAAGAATTTGTTATTTAAATTCTTAGTAACAAAAATTGTTTTATGTATACTGTATATACGTTTTAGGAAATGATTTTTATCTCGGTTTTTTTTGTAAAATTGATAGCTATTTTATTTTGTATGTACGTTGTATTATAAAACATTGGTAATTATTACGAAAAGGTTAAATGCCGATGACTTCGCCGATAATCTTGACTTTGAAATATGTTGTCAAGGTCATGACATCCTGAGTGTCCTTCACAGGTTTAGCCACAGGCGCTCCACACACACACACACACACACACACACACACACACACACACACACACACACACACACACACACACGCATTCGTTAAAAAGTTATTAACAAAAAAAGTTTAAAAAAATCGTATCATTTCTGCATTAACAAATGTTGTAAATCCATGTAGAATCTTGCTTTATGTTGTATAGTGCGAATAATACACAATATAAGAAACTGAATTTAGAAGATGCAGCTTATGAGTGTACGACTTCTACGCGATGCGACTCTCACTTCTTTTCTGCTAAGGGATGCATTTTTACGTCCTTGTTCTTGACAAAGGGGGTGATGGGATGGAAATCGCTTCGGGTGAAAGTTATACGCCACCAAGCAGGAAGAATGATGATAGCTACTGGTGAAAGTGTGTCCCTAAGTACTACTATATAATAACAAAAATGAGAAAATGTTGTGAAAAAAATTTTTCGAATTTAAAATAGAAAATTTATTTTAAAGAGAATTTTTGTTCTATATAATACAAAAGTAACATTATTTCTGTAAATTTCTTTTTTAAATAACTTTTTAACAAATAGCGATCGCCGGCTGAAACCTATTGAAAGTTACTCAGGGTCATGACCTTGACAATATATGTTAATGTAAGATCAAAGACACCGGCGAGGTGTGACTTTTTCATAATAATTGTCAAACATTTTTTACTAAATAAAATTTTATTATATAATTAATAATTATTTTAAATTCATTTTTTAATTGTATATATTAAACACATTAGTAATTTCTCACAGCTGCACATACTCTCTGAATTTCCTGGAGTGATGTCTTACTCCAACAAACTTAGAGTGCGACAAATGCTTCAACAGGTTCATGTAACAAACCATTATTAAATTAAAGGATTATATGAAAGAATAAATATTTAGAAGTGATCAATTAAAGCCGCGACTTTTTATCAATAATGAACAAAACTTATGAAAAACCGTATATATAATGTTTTAAAAGGGAGTTATGACTTTTGTGGGAAAAAATTTTATTTCAAATAGAATGAACTAAAAAATATTAGTGATTATATATTTTGATTTTTTTCTTTATAAATATAAAGATCATTCTTGGGTGATTTTATGCAAATGATCCATCCCATTTCCTTCTATTCTCTGCCTAGAGGCGCACGATTTTTCTCGCGAAACGGGTTTTATCCTTGCCAAGAAGCGACGACTTTTCATTCAAACAGATCCTGCTTCACGTGGAAATTTGTAAATGTTTTATTCTAATCTCATGTCTATTGTAATATAAATGATGATGTAAAAGACAAACTTTACATTAACATTTCAATAAAAAATAAAATTGTCTTATTTATTTTTGAAATATTTCTCACAAAACAACAAGTCCTCTCGTCAAACATTATGTATATGTATTATAATTAGTTTTGTTCATTACTGAAAAATATCCGCGAATTATAGGGAATGTCTAAATATTAACCAATTGAAAATATTATCACAAAATTAATAAATATTATCTTACCTGTAAGCGTAATCGTGTAACGTTTAGCATTGCAACTATATTTGTAAATAATTACAATTTCGTTTTTATCCTTTAATTCATTGAATATATATCGTAGTTCCATCAATAAATTCTTCACCTATTATTTTATTAATTTTCTATACTCTCTTCGTATATATCACTTTCGTATATATCACAAAAACACTTTATGCAATAAAAATTTTTTTATTGACAAGTTAATTCTATTTAACGAATACTCAGTAAGATATGAACTTACAATTTCAATGTTACGATGTAATGCATTATATTTTATCATGCATAATATGGCAAAAGATACAGAAGACAGCACCTTTATTTCAAGGTCTAAAGTACATTTTAATATTATTAATGGTGTCAACTGCAAAAAATTAGTTTTATTCAATTTTGTATATATAGCAAGCAATTTTATTGAAATTTTATGAGTTTCTATATGTATCATTTTATATATACAATATGATTTTAAAAAATGCGATATATTTCTTTAAAAAAGCATGTATTAATGGTTATATAAATAAATGCTAATGCATACAATTATTAACAAATTTGCATCTCTATAGCGAATACTTTGTTTCTCATTTGATATAAAAATTAAATTGCATAATATGGAGTGATATAAACAATTGGAGTAGCAGATTGTCATACAGTAATTTATATTATGCAATAATTTTATATGATTTTGTACCTGAAATATAATATCTGCTGATAAAATAGTACAGAAGAAAATAAACTGAAGTTGAGTAAATTTGGATTGTTGATAAGGCCATAAACCGACAGCAAGCAATAGAATTTTATTGAGATTATTATGAGTTTCTATATATATCATTTTTTTCTTCGAGCGATAAAGTATTACTGTGAAGACTGAAACATCATTGATAGTATACTAATCTCATTTTGTTACTATTTGACTGAATATTTCACATTTTCATGCCTTTTGACGTAATTTTTAAATTACTTAATTTATTACGATTAGTTGTGCAATGGTTTGCTATATAAGATCTAACGGCACTGAATTTAACTTTCTAAGCAAATTACGTATATTTATCTTATTGATTTAATACTATCGGTAATTCGACGGATGTTAGTTTCTCATGAAAATAAGTTATTGGCCACGCAAGCGCATTTTCTTTCTCTCTCAGCGCCAAGACTTCATTCTAATTTACGCACTCATCCGATATACTTCGTGAGAATACCGTTTTTCTTTAATTTTTTTTCATATACTGGTCTATCTGATAATGTTTATAGATTGAAAATGATAGCAATAATATTATACATATATATTACGTTATTGCATTTTACAATTGATATTACAATTAATATTTTCAGCAATTAAATGTCGAATTTTGATTTATAAGTCTTTTGTCTATAATTGAAATATTAACTGCATAATATATATATTTCCTTTTTATTTATTAATTTTTAATTTTCTATTACTGAAATTTTTGAACTATAATTTTTGAACATATGTTTATATACGATGTTTATAACGATGTTAATATAAAAGTAATTAATTAAGTGTAATAATTTTTATAATAAATTTAGCGCGCAAAAGATTTTATTTCCCGATAATAAAGTGTATTTACATTCACTGTAATATGTTTTAACAGTTATGCATATATTAGTTTTGGTACTGTAGAAACTCGTACTAATATCTTGACTTTTTTTTGTTTTCTGTATATATACAGAAAAATCTTTGTGTACTTTGAAAGAAATTACTGAGTTATAATTAAATTTAAATTAATGAATCTATTATTTTGCATATGAGGGAAATATATTTTTATACTTTAAAATATAACTTTTTATAAAACTGTACTGCATATTGATTTGTACAGGAAAAATATTTTTTTCAATTAAAATATTTGAATTACATTAAAATATCGATATATACTCATTGTCTATGTACACTGTCTACATTGATACAGAACGGTAATACAGTTCCTTTATTATCTGTATATTTTTTTGTTACTTTTAATTGAAATAAGAAAAGGTTTATAGTTTGTATTGTTCAATTTTATATTTTCTTTTGGAAAAGGAACAATATATTTTGTCTACATCGCTTTATCTTCTTATAGTTATATGGCTCAATGCAGACTGTTTGAGATTGTCACAATTTATATTTAGGTAACCAGATCCCAATATGATATTTTAAGCAAATTTTTCTAATTTTTTACTGAGTCCAAAATTTGAGAAATATTTGTGAATATTTAAATATTTTTAAATATTTAAATGTACAATGAAGATTTCATGTTAAACCTATGTATATATAAGTCGTATTGAGTACATTCCAGTGAGAAAAGCCAATGAAATCGATATCATTTCTCACTGGGATATGTATTTCATATTAACAATGTTTTTTCTTTCTTATTTCTTTTATTTAATTTTTTAACGTATGTTATTTACCAACGAACATGTTTGAACATAAATTTTTATATATATAAATGTTGAAATGAAATGTTATTTAAAAAAGAATTTATTGCATTATATAGTAATAAATCCTGCATTCAAAATATTTTATTTAAATATAAAATATTTAAACATGCATTTATATTAGGCGTAGTAAAAAGAAATCCATTATTTTTCCATTCAATTTCATGCAAAATAATGGATTTCTTTTTACTACACCTAATATATGGACTATAATTAGTACAGAGGAAGGGAGATCCCGTTTGTCTATAAAATGATTGCCTACTGCTTTGTTTGTACATGATCATATTATACTGATGATTAAGTTGTCCATAATGCATTGATCATACAACTGTAGCGCATTGCTTATATGATTATATTGCACAATGCACATACGACTGTGTGGTACACATGACGGTGTCGCGCACATGCCATTTGGCACGCATATACATTGCAAACAAAGAAAGTCCATATGATAGCATATGGGTTTTCAAGTTTGACTGCAAAACAAAATTATACAATGTGCAAAATTATTCATAGTGCATGAATGCAGTAAAACAAACTATTTTGATTTAAATAACTTTAATCTTATTCTGTTACACAGGGAAACATTTATCTGTACTCTATGTACAAAAAATGAATCTATTATTTTCTGATCGCTATTATCATTTCTTATTGACTATGTTTCTATTATGATAATAATAAATTAATAAATATTTATTTTGTCATCGTGTAGACTGCATGACTGTGAAATAAGATACGGAGGCCTTTATTAGCTGCAATTATAAATATACGTTTTTATTATATCAATACGTAAATGGATAGTAAAATATCTCCCAAAATATTACCGTTGCAAAACCTTCTATGGAGGCATCAAATATTCCACAAATATTTAATGAAAATTCCTTGGCTTTTCTTTGCAGTAAAAATAGTATCATTCTTTGTATATGTAATGGAGTTTTATACCACTGAACGTTGTATCTACAGAATTGAATATACAGATAAATCGCTTACTTTTAATTGAAATTCTTAATTAATATTGGCATAAGTTCTAATTAAATGCAGCAGATCAATTTCTGTTTGTAATATTGTAACAAATGCAAAAAGCAACAATCGCACATACTACCATAAATGTTTCTCTTACGCAGTAATAAATACATGATTATTGTGGTCAATTATATTCTGTCCGATATAGTTGGCTATAAACATGTATATGATGCATATTGACGCAAATATAAACGATAATAAAGATTCGGTGACATTTGTTCTAATGTTTTCAAATGATGCTATCCGGAAAAGCTGAGAAATAAATGTTACATTGCAAATATCAATCTTCTACATATGTATCTATATTCTAATTATCAATTTGTAACGTGCAAGTTTTATTTATTCCTGCAATTAAGATTTCTTTTACAGTTCGATTACTTATATGCACTTTTGCGCACAAATAAAAATTTCAAAAAGGAAGTCTTTTATCCACATATATTAATGCTTTCATATATTACTACTTATTTGAATTATTATAACACTTTTGAGCACAAATATATTGTAAAATTAATTTTAAATTAGTTAGAAAGTAATTTCTAAAGCAGAGATTAGGATATGTAGGCGATCAAGCGGTAGGCAATAATACATGTAAACAATCGAACTATAAATAAAAATATATATAAGCAAATGTAACTTCATTCTTGAAATTTTTATTAGCAAAAAATACATGTTATTGGCAACCGAGCTGCCGACAATAATTTTTGTGCAATCAAACAATCTGTCCAAATGCGATGCAGGCAATTGATTTGTGATGTTCTTTATAATGTTTGACAATAAATATTTTATAAATTTGCATTAATGATGTGTATCTACAATGTTACTATGTTTCGAATGTATTTGATAATTTTTTGGGAAAATTCCGTTTGCCTACAGCTTTGTTTGCACACAGTACATTGTATACATGACAGTATTGCACACAGCACATTGTACACACGGTACCATTGGATTAGTTCACTTGCGCTTAATACGTGAACTAACTACCAATAGTGTACTGCAACGTGCTGTGCGTAATATCGCTGTGTGCAAGACTGTCGCGTGTGCAATATGCTGTAATACTGTCGTGTATGCAATGTGCAGTGTACAAAGTCAGTTTCTGATAAAATGTTACAAAATCTAAAACATTTTTAAAATAATTATTAAAAGTTATGAAAAATTTTAGAATATTTCAGAATTCACTTCTATGAGTTCTTAGACAAGATGTAAACTTTCCGAATATTTCTGAATATTTCTGAAATATGTTGAAAAATGTTCCGATTCGTGTAATAATTATGAGAAAAATTTTCACCAGTATAGACAATTATTTATTGAAACGAAGCCTTGCTTTTGATTATGTTTTGATTATTTTTTTTTCTTATGGCATTTACAAGTATATGTATGTAGTTTTTTATAATTTATAATTTATAATACATATTATTTAATGGCTTTTGTTTAAGATTTATATGTGGTATTGATTGTTGCTGTTAGGTATACATGCTGTTAGGTATTTATTATAGTATTAGTAGATAATATAATAAATAACAATTTTAATTTAACCAAACCTTCATGTATTATATTATTTCGTGAAACCGTAAACTTACTTGATACAGATTAAAACTAAAACAAATTATTACACATCCCGTAAAACAAGATATCGATATTTCGAATGTAGTCATGAAATGGGTCATCATTCTTAAAAAGAAATATATGATTGAGTATTAGTAAATGTATCGCACGATGTATAAAAATCACAGATACATACTTTATAGCTTGACGATGAATGTCTACGGCACTAATTATACCTTCAATCATCAAAATTTTATTTTTTATTGTAATATTTTGTGGAATATTGATATTCACTGCATGCTTAATGCGATAGCTGCAAATGTGTTTTTTTTTATTTATTAATTATTAATTTTGTATTTTATTTAATTTATTTTATTTTATTTAGTTTATTGCAAAGCAATGAAAAAGACTACATATTAACAGAGTAATAGACATAAAATATGATACAATATACTATATTTAATATAAACATAAATACAATAGACAATAGTAGCTTGCAAATGGTAAGGCGTCAGCAAAATTGCTGTTACAAAACCTACCAGTAACAAAATCAGAATGAAACAACAATACAATAACAGATAAATCAATAACTGAAATCACACACACACACACACACACACACACGCGCGCGCGCGCGCGCGCGCCCATACACTCGCAAACACACCAATTACATCTGTCTCGTTTAAATACCGTAAATGACGTAATGAAATGCGAAGCAGCAAAACGAAAGAAGGATGGAGAGGGAGAAGTTTTTATTGTATCAGGAAGAGAATTAAAAATATTTGACAGAGAAAGCGGCACTTAGTGGACCGATATATGGAGAAGGATAAGTAATTTTGGTATATGGTGACCAGAGTGTTAAAATAGGAATGATGTTCAGGGTTCAAATGAATGAGACGTCGCAGATATAGAGGAATATTGGAGCGAGGGAGAGAAAATACAATCTAGCACAGGTGGAGAATAAAACGTTGCCAAATCTTAAGCCGCCAGATCTCTGGTAATACGGAAATATATGATCGTATTTACGAACACAATAGGAGAAGCGGAGACAAGAATTTTGGATACGCTGTACACGATTTAACAGATGTTGGTTAAGAGCCGGAACGTAGTCGATCAGCATAATCAAACAGAAAAATAACAATTGAGAAGTGAGAAGTTTTTGAAAACAAGAAAGGATGTGGTAAAGAAGATAAAGAAAACATAAACAAGCAAAAGCAATCCGATACTTGATGGCCACGTGTGATTCGAATGACCATGAAGAGGCCACATGCACACTAAGAATCTTAATAAAGGAGGGATGAAGAATTGGAATAGAAATGTCGAAGAATTGATTACCGGATAACAATGTTGAGGAACCGACAATCAGCAAGAATGATTTAGAAAGTTTTTGCAGGATATTATTTCTCGATTACCATCCGGCAATAGATTTTAAGTATTCTGTTCAAAGCAGAACAGGTTGCTAAAGCATCAAAGGAGTGAAAGGATTTGAGAAGAATTATATCATCTGCATACATAAAAAGCTCGCAAAGCTGAGAAACATTAGACAAATCAGATACAAAAATATTAAAGAGTAAGGATCCGAGAATGGAATCCTGGGGAACACTAATGAGAACAGCATGAATAGAGGAGAGAGGAGAAAAAGGATTATATATAAATTGTTGCGATTTGTAAGGAACATGCAGATTAGCGAGAGAACAAGACGAGAAAGATCGCATTTGAGTTTGACTACAAGTAGATTATGACTGACGATATCGAAAATCTTTGTGAAATTCAGGGTAACGATGGAAGTAAGACGATTGTCGAAATTACGAAGCACAACGTTGGAAATGTGAAGCAATTTCGTCGTCGTGCTATGAGATCGACGAAAATGAGACTGACAGGAAGGAGAAATATTAAAATTTGAGATAAAGACATTAAGTTATGAAAAGCAGATACACTCAAGCAGCTTTAAGAGGAAAGAGGGGAGCGAGATAGGGAAAAGACAAAGGAAAAGAGGGATTATGAGTTTTAGGAATGGAAAGAACAATATTTCCAGGAAAAGAAAAAGATACTGTGAGAAAGAGAGGGAGAAAATTAACATATAAAGAAGAAAATCAAGATATTGAAGGCACAGTAGGAGCATGCGACTGGAGAGATCCAGAGACCTAATGGAAGTAAAGCGAATGCGCTTAAAGATATTGTAGAGATTCTTGTGAATGATTTGAACAAAATTGAAGATCGTGGAAATGTGAAGAGAGGAAGAAAGAAGGTAGAAGTGTTGGAAGAGTAGAAGTGTTAGAAGAAAAAGACGAAGAAGTTAAGGTATTAAGCAATTGATTATTCAAGAGTGAAGGGTTTCTAAGATGCAGAGGTATCGAAGAAAAGGTTTGTACTGTCAAGGGCACGAAGATTTCTCCAGAATTGGAGCGAAGAATCAATTGTAAAGGAGGTAGAGGCGAAGGATTTTTTCTCACGAACAGCAATATTGTATGCAAACTCTTGTAGCGCCGCCAGTCCGCAGGAAACTGAGATCGCCTATATTTAAGAAGGGCACATCTCTTCAGCTCAATGAGTCGTCTGCACCATTCAGATCACGGTGCGATGGGACAAGAAACACGCCTACAAGTAATCGGGGCGAATCGATCAAAAATTGCAGTAAGACAGGCAGTAAAGAGAAACCATCTCAATATGTGCTGCATATAAAGGGACCAGCTCCAGCTCATATTCGATGTCCTTAGTCCTAATTGCATGAATGTTATGTGAGAAAGACACATGACCAGGACGATATAGTCACGGAATAGCCAGCATCAAATGGATGATAAGATGGTCACACTGATCGCATCGCTGAGTCCGCATTCCTCAATTACATTAATACTCGAGACAAAAATAAGATCCAAGGTGGTTGCCAAATTATATTAAGTAAATTGAAGCATCAATTAATTGTCCAAGAAAAAACAGCGATATTCGAATTTGGCGTTATAATTAATTTGACCGAGCATGTTGACATTGAAATCACTCAACACACAATCGCGTCGGTTATACATGCAACACAAAATAGACATAATTCTGTAAGTGATTCCGTCATTTTCGTCAGGTAGAGACGAAAGAAAAGGCGGTGAGACGCAACCAGCTTCTCTGACGCTGAAAAAATTAAGGAGGTAGCAGCAGCCCCAAGCAAAGGCAATTTCACGCCCAGTTTGCAACAATAAGAACGCAATTATCGGAGGAGCGCGAATTATTGTCAGCGCCACAGAAGAGCAAGGAGCTTCGCTTACACGTCGACTCATTCTAAAGTACATGAAATTATAGACACAGTATATACAATGTATTTACACGTAGGATCACACAACAAAGGCACGCAGCAAATTAACAAAATAATTATTTATCTGTGCCTATCCTTTAAACAAAGACGGAAGCGAATGACGAACAAATAATAATGATATAACGACTAGATTTGAACAAACTTATTGCCTCACTATAGAAATTATTACACAATGATAAAATATTACAAGAATGTAAATGAAAATCACACATTTCACGCAATATAAACGCATTAATAAAATAATGAAACGTAGAAAGATCGCGTCACTCTCTCACAGAAATACATTCTGCTCGCCGACCAACATTCGCGAAAACGTCAAAAGTAAGAAACTGGAAGATAAAAAACTGAGATATTGCAA